ATTAGTTGTTTATTGTGTTGAATACAACAGTACCATATGGTACAATGAACCATATGGTATTATTGTACTGTATGGTACAATGTACCATATGGTACCAATGCACCATATGGTACCAATGCACCATATGGTACCATAAGGTACCATTGCACCATATGGTACCATTGTATCATATGGTACCATTGCACCATATGGTACCATTGTATCATATGGTACCATTTTACCAAATGGTGCCATTGTACCATATTCTACCATATGGTACCATTGTATCATGTGCCATTGTACCATATTGTACAATATGGTACCATTGTACTATATGGTACAATTGTACTATATAGTACCATTGCACCCTATGGCACCATTGTAAAATATGGTACTATATGGTACCGTTGTATTCAACACAATAACCGCACTAATATTTTCATCATTTTGTTTACAATAAACTTGTAAACACGTTTTGTAAGCAATATAATGATAAACACATTAGTGCAGTTATTGTGTTGAATACAATGAGTGTATACTTATACAATATACATTATATTGGTCTCACAGGCCACAAATGTTATTAGAAAAGAAAAAAATAGAAAAGAAAAAAGTATAAAAAACGTAAAATAAAAAAATGCGATTTTGCGGAAGTCACTGATGTTGCCGCCACCCGGTCATTTTGGGTCAACTTCCCGCCGCTGTATCTCGGTAAGTACTGATCAGAATTTTTTTTTGTTTAATTACCTTCACAAAAATATTATCTTTAATTCTGTAAGAATTTTTTTTTTTTTTTTTTTTTTCAAAATTTCTTGGACACTGAGGCACCCCTTCAGATTTTGGCCTTGGACCCTGAAAGGGTTAATAGTTCTTGTTTCTTATTACTTTTCCTTTTATATCCATGGGGAAGTGGAATAAGAATCTTTCCTCCATAAGCCATACGTGTTGTAAAAGTCAACTAAAATGCTGGGAACAATGGGCTAGTAACCCCTTTTTCTGTAATAATTACTAAAAAGAATAATAAGAAGAAAATTTTCAAAGTGGGAAGTCTGAATGTGTGTGAATGTTGTGCGAATGATAAGAAATGGGATTAGGTCAGGGGTTTCAAATAGAGTTAGAGCTAAAGAAGGAGTAGCAATAATGTTAAAGGATAAGCTATGGCAGGAAAAGAGGGAGTATAAATGTATTAATTCAAGGATTATGTGGAGTAAAATAAAGGTTGGATGTGAAAAGTGGGTTATAGTAAGCATATATGCACCTGGAGAAGAAAGAAGTATAGAGGAGAGAGAGAGATTTTGGGAAATGTTGAGTGAATACATGGGGAGTTTTGAACCAAATGTGAGAGTACTTGTGGTTGGGGATTTCAATGCCAAAGTGGGTAAAAATGTAGGTAAATTTGGGGTGCCAGGGGTAAATGAAAATGGGGAGCCTTTAATTGAGTTATGTGTAGAAAGAGGTTTGGTAATAAGTAATACATATTTTATGAAAAAGAGGATAAATAAATATACAAGGTATGATATAGCACGTAATGAAAGTAGTTTGTTAGATTATGTATTGGTGGATAAAAGGTTGATGGGTAGGCTTCAGGATGTACACATTTATAGAGGGGCAACTGATATATCGGATCATTATCTAGTTGTAGCTACAGTTAGAGTAAGAGGTAGATGGGACAAGAGGAAAATGGCAACAACAAGTAAGAGGGAGGTGAAAGTGTATAAACTAAGGGAGGAGGAAGTTCGGGTGAGATATAAGCAACTATTGGCAGAAAGGTGGGCTGTTGCAAGTATGAGTAGTGGGGGAAGGTTGAAGAGGGTTAGAATAGTTTTAAAAATGCAGTATTAGAATGTGGGGCAGAAGTTTGTGGTTATAGGAGGGTGGGTGAAGGAGGAAAGAGGAGTGATTGGTGGAATGATGAAGTAAAGGGTGTGATAAAAGAGAAAAAGGTAGCTTATGAGAGGTTTTTACAAAGCAGAAGTGTTATAAGAAGAGTAGAGTATATGGAGAGTAAAAGAAAGGTGAAGAGAGTGGTGAGAGAGTGCAAAAGGAGAGCAGATAGAGTGGGAGAGGCACTGTCAAGAAATTTTAATGAAAATAAGAAAAAAATTTGGAGTTAAACAAGTTAAGAAAACCAAGGGAACAAATAGGTTTGTCAGTTAAAAACAGAATAGGAGAGTTAGTAGATAGGGAGACGGAGGTATTGGGTAGATGGCAAGAATACTTTGAGGAACTTTTAAATGTCGATGAAGAAAGGGAGGCGGTAATTTCATGCACTGGCCAGGGAGGTATACCATCTTTTAGGAGTGAAGAAGAGCAGGCTGTAAGTGTGGGGGAGGTGTGTGAGGCATTACGTAGAATGAAAAGGGGTAAAGCAGCTGGAACTGATTGGATCATGACAGAAATGTTAAAAGCAGGGGGGGATATAGTGTTGGAGTGGTTGGTATTTTTGTTTAATAAATGTATGAAAGAGGGGAAGGTACCTAGGGATTGGCAGAGAGCATGTATAGTCCCTTTATATAAAGGGAAGGGGGACAAAAGAGATTGTAAAAATTATAGAGGAATTAGTTTACTGAGTATACCAGGAAAAGTGTATGGTAGGGTTATTATTGAAAGAATTAGAGGTAAGACAGAATGTAGGATTGCGGATGAGCAAGGAGGTTTTAGAGTGGGTAGGGGATGTGTAGATCAGGTGTTTACATTGAAGCATATATGTGAACAGTATTTAGATAAAGGTAAGGAAGTTTTTATTGCATTTATGGATTTAGAAAAGGCATATGATAGAGTGGATAGGGGAGCAATGTGGTAGATGTTGCAAGTATATGGAATAGGTAGTAAGTTACTAAATGCTCTAAAGAGTTTTTATGAGGACAGTGAGGCTCAGGTTAGGGTGTGTAGAAGAGAGGGAAAATACTTCCTGGTAAAAGTAGGTCTTAGACAGGGATGTGTAATGTCACCATGGTTGTTTAATATATTTATAGATGGGGTTGTAAAAGAAGTAAATGCTAGGGTGTTCGGGAGAGGGGTGGGATTAAATTATGGGGAATCAAATACAAAATGGCAAGTGACACAGTTAATTTTTGCTGATGATACTGTGCTTATGGGTGATTCTAAAGAAAAATTGCAAAGGTTAGTGGATGAATTTGGGAGTGTGTGTAAAGGTAGAAAATTGAAAGTGAACATAGAAAAGAGTAAGGTGATGAGGGTACCAAATGATTTAGATAAAGAAAAATTGGATATCAAATTGGGGAGGAGGAGTATGGAAGAAGTGAATGTTTTCAGATACAGTGGACCCCCGCTTAACGATCACCTCCAAATGCGACCAATTATGTAAGTGTATTTATGTAAGTGCGTTTGTACGTGTATGTTTGGGGGTCTGAAATGGACTAACGTACTTCACAATATTCCTTATGGGAAAAAATTCGGTCAGTATTGGCACCTGAACATGCTTCTGGAATGAAAAAATATCGTTAACCGGGGGTCCACTGTATTTGGGAGTTGACGTATCAGCGGATGGATTTATGAAGGATGAGGTTAATCATAGAATTGATGAGGGAAAAAAGGTAAGTGGTGCATTGAGGTATATGTGGAGACAAAGAACATTATCTAAGGAGGCAAAGGGAATGTATGAAAGTATAGTAGTACCAACACTCTTATATGGGTGTGAAGCTTGGGTTGTAAATGCCGCAGTGAGGAGGCGGTTGGAGGCAGTGGAGATATCCTGTCTAAGGGCAATGTGTGGTGTAAATATTATGCAGAAAATTTGGAGTGTGGAAATTAGCAGAAGGTGTGGAGTTAATAAAAGTATTAGTCAGAGGGCTGAAGAGGGGTTGTTGAGGTGGTTTGGTCATGTAGAGAGAATGGATCACAGTAGAATATGGAGAGCATATAAATCTGTAGGGGAAGGAAGGCAGGGTGGGGGTAGTCCTCGAAAAGGTTGGAGGGAGGGGGTAAAGGAGGTGTTGTGGGCTTGGACTTCCAGCAAGCGTGCGTGAGCGTGTTAGATAGGAGTGAATGGAGACAAATGGTATTTGGGACCTGACAAGCTGTTGGAGTGTGAGCAGGGTAATATTTAGTGAAGGAATTCGGGGAAACCGGTTATTTTATATAGCCGGACTTGAGTCCTGGAAATGGGAAGTACAATGCCTGCACTTTAAAGGAGGGAGGGGTTTGGGATATTGGCAGTTTGGAGGGATATGTTGTGTATCTTTATACGTATATACTTCTAAACTGTTGTATTCTGAGCACCTCTGCAAAAACAGTGATTATGTGTGAGTGAGGTGGAAGTGTTGAATGATGATGAAAGTATTTTCTTTTTGGGGATTTTCTTTCTCTTTGGGTCACCCTGCCTCGGTGGGAGACGGCCGACTTGTTAAAAAAAAAGAAAAGAAAAGAACATAGTATTTGTAACTAGTGTACCTATTTACAGATGCAGAATTGTTTTTATAAATAAGGGAAAACACTAAGCCCATAGGGGTCATACAACACCAGGGAATGGGAGGCAGTTAGGTTTAAGGAAGGGGGGGGGGGAAAGTCCAATTCCTCAGATCAAGGGCCCCTTATTGTCATCAAGGAAGGGAGACAGCTGCAGGAGCAGAACTAAACCTGTGGTGTGCCATCTTCAGTGCTTAATATATCGTGAAGTTTATGTAATATCCTGTGAGTGTAACACTAACTTCTCTACATCTTTTTTTCTGACTATTATCCTGCATGATATCGTCTAAGTTAACTCCTCAATGTATAGCTATACAATACATATCTTCTTACCAGGTAATTCACTCATCCACTTGTTTTATTTGGTCTCATTTTCTTCTACCTTCTTCATATAATTAGCCTCATGATTTTTTTCCATTGTGCTTTGTTCGGAAATTCTTTACAAATTTTCAGATTAATTTATGCAGTTTAACCTTCTATCAAATAGTTTATTTCCTTGTATAATCACCTCTCGTGGACAATTATCATCCCACTGTCACTCATATTTGCCATAAAAATTACCATATTTAATAAAGTAAATTTATGTTTTACAGAACCCTGAGTGAGACACGCTTGCGAAGTATTTTCACTGACTTCTCACACCATAAGCTCTCAAGGGACAATGCTGTTAACCTCTTGCGATCAGACGTTATACAGAAATTGGTCCAAGGATTTCCAGATAGTGATAATCAACTAGCCAATTTGGCTTTTAGCCAAGTCACAAAAGATGTGTTTAGGAACCTTGTTTTAGATGAAGATATCAGGTAAATATAATGTTAATTATACAGTAAAATCTTGAATTAACCCCTATTTAACAGATTTCAGATTTTTTTTTTTTATCACCAGCCAACTAAAATGAGGTACTGTCATTCAGTCAATCACTGTCTTGCTAGAAGCATGATAACATCACAGTACACCGTATAGATGACCCTCCTGAGCTACAACATCCTCACTTCTCTTTTATACTACTTCCTACCTCCAAGACTAAAGTCCAGGTAGCTGGTTTCCTGAATCCCTTTAGAAAAGTTACTATGCTCTGACACCACATCAGGTCATAAAAACCACTGATTTAATGCACACACATGAACCTGTTGGATGTTCAAGCACCAAGTATTCAAAACCAACTTTACCCCTCCAATCCTTCCTGGGTTGAGTCATCCTCCCCTGCTTCATCCTCTATAAATAATCAAGCCTCCTCAACAACCCTTCCTCAACTCTGAATATACTTTTGGTACTCCCACATCTGTCCTCCACACACTCTATTCTTTGAATAATATGTACGTCACACATTGCCCTCAAACATGACATGTCCCCTGCCCCCAGGGGACTTGTCATGTTTGGCTGTGTTGATAGCCCATGCTGCACACTCAGGTAACAGTGTTGGTACCACTGTACTGTGGTATATTACCCATTTCTGCCTACATGGATAGAGTTCTTTGTCTCCACAGATGCCTTGACTCAAAATCCACCTTTTATCCCTTGTCTCTTCTGTGGTTCACTTTGTCTTTTGTAGACCCATCTCATTTTGCCTAGATTCTTTGTTGCTCTCATCACCTTGCTCTTTCTTATATTCAATTTTAGCAGTTTCTTCCTTTTACATTTCCTTTCTAATATATCCACCAACCTTTACAACTTTTCTTTAGACTCTTCCAAAAGAAGTGTCATTGGTAAAGAGCACCTGTGACAATTCCCACCTTTTATTGAATTCATCATCTCTATCTCACACCTCTTCCCAACACTGACATTCACATTTTTTACAGACCAATTTATAAATATGTCTGAGGCCTACTTGTTTTACTAGAGAAGAATTCCCTCCCCCCCCCCTCTCTCTCTCTCTCTCTAACTTGAACCTCACTTTCTACATTAAAAAACTTCACTGCTTTTAGTAACCTATTAGCTATTCCATGCATATGCAACTTTTTTTCATATTGCTTCCCTATCCACCCTATCATATGGCATTTTTTTTTTTATTCAGAGTAGGAAAACTCACAATACTCATCAAAGTCATATCTAAATATTGTTCACCGATGTTCTTCATTGTAAACACTCGATCTACATGTCCCTTGTGAAAATGTTATTAACCCTTTCAGGGTCCGTCCCGTAGATCTACGGCTTTATGTTCAGGGTCCAAACCGTAGATCTACGCCATGAGCTCAACTCACTCTGATAAACTGTGAGTGGTACATTTGGGCCTAGATACGAGAGAATACGTCTATGTGGTATGTGTGCACGACATAAAACAAATCCTGCAACACACTGTGTATAATGAGGAAAAAAAACTGAGACCATGATTTTCGATTAAAACAGCGACTTTGCAGTGTTTTTCGTATGTTTTTTATAGTTGTATTTACAATTTCTTGGTCTCATTTGATAGAATGGAAGACATACTACAGAAATAGAGATGATTTTGATTGGTTTTAGCACTGGAAATGGCTTGAAGCTGAACTCAAAATAGCGGAAATGTTAAATTTTTGCTGATGCTCAAGAGTAAACAAATGACCTCACACGTCTAATACACGCCAGCTGGTGGGTCTGATATACATTCACAAATGTGGTGATGATATTTATATAATTATTACAATATTGCATAACAGTAAATCTTCTATTTTTTGGTGTGAATAAAAATTCATTATGTGAATAAAAAATCAAAATGGAATTTATTTGTAAAGCCTCAAAATGTAACTAATGAACAGAGGAAATGTTAGTTTAGTGCCAGGAATACTTACATTGTTTATTCTGGACCCTATTTTGAAATTGGAATATTTTTAATTTTGTGTTAAATTGGCCAAATTACCAATTTCCGATCACTTTATTTTGTAGTTGAAACAGTTGACTTGGCGATTTCTTGAGCTCAATCGATAGAATAGAGTAATACTAGTGAAATAGGTAAGAATTTGGTTGACTGGAATAATGTAATTGGCCTAAAATGGGAGTCAAAGTTGGCAAAAATCGCCGATTCGTAAATATCGCTGACACATCAAAATTTGTGAGAGCATAATTTCATCAATTTTCCATCAAATTTCATACTTTTTGTTTTATTACCTTCACAAAAAGATTCTCTACCATTTCACAAGAAAAAAATATATTTTTTTTTTTTAAATTCTTGGACACTGGGGCACCACTTCAGATTTTGGCCTTGGACCCTGAAGGGGTTAAACAAGAAAGTTGTGTAGTGAATTTGTGATATTCACAGGCACATTAGTGTTGTATTGAGCCCTGCCTATTTTCTGTGGAAGAAATAGACTGAGTCAACAGACAGCTTCTATGCAAGCCTCAGAAATTATAGGTTATGGTGGTATGTGATAATGCTAGTAACTGATTCTTCTTGCCAAATGTTGAATGGTTACACTCCTACAACTTCCAAGATTACATAAAACAGTTGTTTTCTTAATTTACATTCTGGTTTGTGTTACTTGATGTGCAAGAGTGTTGCGAAGGCTAATGTGGTGCCATATTAACTTTTGCCATATGCAGGCACTTCATGTAACACAAACTAGAATTTAAGGTAAAAAAAATTTGTTTTAAGCAATATTGAAGGTTGTAGGAGCATTTTCCATATGTTCTTCAGTTCACTTAACACAGATTTTATATTAAATGCAGTTTTCATTAGCTTAATGGGAGTTTAAAGCCTATTGACTACATGAAGGTCATTAATGCTACATGACACCTGTTCACCACCATTAGGAATGCTTTAATCACAGAAGTAAGGATTAAAGTAAACTCTCAGCATATATATATAAAGATATGCACCTCACAGTGTATACATACGATGACAGTGCCACTGTGGTATGTGAGTCTCATGTATACAGTATAGAGAAATGCTGAAAGGTAATTTATTCAATATAGTAATGTAAGTAGATTATTTACTGGACTTGCATGTAAAATTCATTATCACTGATTTTTTTTTTTTTTTGTTTTTAATAATTCCATAATTTCTGTCAATCACTGCAGACCTCACTTTACTTCCAATTTATAGATGTGACGGTAGAGGCCTTTGTGATTTGCGCATTATGAAATGCAGCGTAGATCTTTATCGTCCCCTGCATGGGTCATCACTCTTCCAGCGTGGTCAGACACAAGTACAATGTACCGTTGCTTTTGATGCCCATGAAAATATTCCCAAATTAGATCCTTTATTAGAGGCTACTGGGTAAGTTAAATTATTATTTGTAATTATTCCTTGAAACACAATACTACTAGAGTATGTTAATGCTGGTAGAATTACCAAGTAATAGCTTATGTGCAAGTTGATTGTTCTACCACATTGTATTACTACTACAACTAATATTACTACTACTACTACTACAACTAATATTACTACTACTACTACAACTAATATTACTACTACTACTACAACTAATATTACTACTACTACTACAACTAATATTGCTACTACAACTAATATTACTACTACAACTAATATTACTACTACTACTACTACAACTAATATTACTACTACTACTACAACTAATATTACTACTACTACAACTAATATTACTACTACTACTACAACTAATATTACTACTACTACTATTACCACTAGTATTACACCTCACTCTCAGCCTATATATATATATCCTCTGTGTCCATGTATTGTTTGTAATGGCTTGATAAAGCTGTGCACCTGTGTCTATTTACCTGACAATACTACTAGTATGGTAATACCCCATTTAGTTACAATTTAATTTAATTTCACAGAGCAACTAATGTATATTAGGGAATATTTTTAGTGATTCCTTATTACCAAATTTCCCTAAAAAAATAATAAATCCATTTTTTTTTTTTTGACCAATTTCTACTTAAACAACACAATCCAACCACACATGTACCAAAATTCCCCATTAAATACTTAAATGAAAAAACTACACTTTTTGACTGATTTTGGTCATTAAATGAGCTCACTACACTTGCACAAAGCAATTTACAAAAAATGAATGAATTTAATAAATGAAATTATAAAAAATTAGCCTTTCTTACTTTTTTGTCTCACCTAACTCTTGTCTAACCTCTAAATTTTTGGCTTAACTCTGTCTAATATCTAAATGTCTAACCTAACTTTTTAACCTCTAAAGGTCTTACCTAACTGTATACTGAACCAAAATTTGTCCACCCTAAACTTGTGATATTCCTGTGACATATCCAGTTGCTTCAGTAAAGGCATAACCTCTGCAGTAGTACCCAGCTTCCCCACATCTCTCCTCAAGTTTTAAACTTTAGAAGCCCTTCATAAATTTTTAGCATTATCATATCTTATTTTATAGATGGCATTTGCTGTATCATGTTCATATGTGTACAGGCCACAGGTGCCTTCATCATACTTCATTAAAAATTGGGATCTAATGGGGAAGATTATACAGGAAATCTATTCTCAGGAATACTTCCCCAGTTATAACATGAAAGTCTATGGGAAAATGAGTTTTATTAACCCTTTGAGGGTTCGTGCCATAGATCTGCGGCTATACGTTGAGGGTCCAAACCTTAGATCTATGCCAAAATTCTAACGGCGTTAAATTTAGCTCGAGAAGGCTGGTAGGCCTATATGTGAGAGAACAGGTCTGCATGGTGTGTGTGTGCGCCATGAAGAAATAGGCGGCCGCATAGCATTGTGGGAACACTGGCTCAGTTACCTTTGTTCACCATGCCTCGTTGCAAGGCAGCTCTCACTCCAAGGTGAATTGGGACTCTCCTCTTCCTATCTGATAGTTCTGACTCTGATGTTATGCCTGTGGATCCTGTCACAACTATCAAGAAAGCGTTTTAGGTCAAGGTTAATATTGGAATTTAAGGTCCTGTAGATATAGATTGCACAGTAGTAACTGTGGATGTTCTGAACAGGGAGTAAGTTTAGTTCTATGAAGAGTGGGTGGGTGTGTTGCCAGGGATGGGATTTAGTGATTATTCTTTTTATTTTTTTTTTTTTTTTATTATCACACCGGCCGATTCCCACCAAGGCAGGGTGGCCCGAAAAAGAAAAACTTTCACCATCATTCACTCCATCACTGTCTTGCCAGAAGGGTGCTTTACACTACAGTTTTTAAACTGCAACATTAACACCCCTCCTTCAGAGTGCAGGCACTGTACTTCCCATCTCCAGGACTCAAGTCCGGCCTGCCGGTTTCCCTGAATCCCTTCATAAATGTTACTTTGCTCACACTCCAACAGCACGTCAAGTATTAAAAACCATTTGTCTCCATTCACTCCTATCAAACACGCTCACGCATGCCTGCTGGAAGTCCAAGCCCCTCGCACACAAAACCTCCTTTACCCCCTCCCTCCAACCCTTCCTAGGGCCGACCCCTACCCCGCCTTCCTTCCACTACAGACTGATACACTCTTGAAGTCATTCTGTTTCGCTCCATTCTCTCTACATGTCCGAACCACCTCAACAACCCTTCCTCAGCCCTCTGGACAACAGTTTTTGGTAATCCCGCACCTCCTCCTAACTTCCAAACTACGAATTCTCTGCATTATATTCACACCACACATTGCCCTCAGACATGACATCTCCACTGCCTCCAGCCTTCTCCTCGCTGCAACATTCATCACCCACGCTTCACACCCATATAAGAGCGTTGGTAAAACTATACTCTCATACATTCCCCTCTTTGCCTCCAAGGACAAAGTTCTTTGTCTCCACAGACTCCTAAGTGCACCACTCACTCTTTTTCCCTCATCAAATTTTATGATTCACCTCATCTTTCATAGACCCATCCGCTGACACGTCCCACTCCCAAATATCTGAATACGTTCACCTCCTCCATACTCTCTCCCTCCAATCTGATATTCAATCTTTCATCACCTAATCTTTTTGTTATCCTCATAACCTTACTCTTTCCTGTATTCACCTTTAATTTTCTTCTTTTGCACACCCTACCCTTTCTTACTGCGGCTTTTTGTTGGGTTATTATTGGCTTTAGGTGTGTTGCTGCAGTTGAACCCCAAGCACAGATAGCATAGGTGAGGTATGGATATATAAGTGAATGGTATAGTGTGAGAAGGGCAGTTTGCAGTACATAGTATCGTATCTTGGAGAGGATCCCCACTGTTTTGGATACTTTTTTTGTTATGTGTTGGATGTGGGTGCTGAAATTTAGGTTGTTGTCGAGGTATAGGCCAAGGAATTTGCCTCATTATGTCTGGCAATTAGAGTGTTGTCGATCTTAATGTTAAGTTGCGCAACACCTGCTCTGCTACCAAACATAATATAGTAGGCTTTGCCAGTGTTAAGTGTAAGTTTATTGGCTGTCATCCAAGTCGATATTTTGAGCAGCTCCTCATTAACAATGGTGTTGAGGGTGGCAAGATTAGGATGGGAGATGACATAAGTCGTGTCGTCAGCAAAGAGAATGGGTTTCAGGTGTTGGGATATGTTTGGAAGATCATTGATGTAAATGAGGAAGAGCAGGGGTCCAAGGACACTTCCCTGCAGAACTCCAGTATCAAGTGGCCGTATTGATGAGGCTGTGTCTTTAATGGTGACATACTGATACCTATTAGAAAGGTAGGATTTAAAATATGCAACCACATGGCCTCTTATACCATAGTGGTCAAGTTTGTGGAGTAGGATGCCGTGGTCTACTGTGTCAAACGCTTTTCTTAGGTCAATCAAAATTCCTAGCGGATATTGGTGCTTGTCCAGATGTGGTCTATTAAGGAGATGCTTGTCTCGGAGATTCTTGTAGGTTTAGATATTGCTGGTAGCAACAGGCAGTTACTCATTGTGTTTGTGAATTCGGTTACTTGTGGGTCCTGGTTGTGTAGTATGTTTATGTTGAAATCACCTGTTAGTAGTAGGTGGTTGTTGCGGCCCCCTACCAAACTAGTGGTTAAATAGTTAACCTGCTGGCCGCAGTACCACTGGGTATGTCATCAAACCCATTGTGGGGACTGCTGAGCCGGCCTTAGAGCATTATGTACCTGAACACCTCACAGTACACATCTAAGCAGTAAGTACCTGAACACCTAATGGTACACATCTACTGGCTTTAGAAGCATTAAGTACCTGAACACCTCACGGTACGCATCTAAGCAGTAGGTACCTGAACACCTAATGGTACACATCTACTGGCTTAGAAGCAGTAGGTACCTGAACACCTAATGGTACACATCTACTGGCCTTAGAAGCAGTAGGTACCTGAACACCTAATGGTACACATCTACTGGCAGTAGAGTATTTTACTGGCTTCTGCTGATTTTAGAAGAAGCGCTCACCGCAGCTCACTGAGTCTGTTGGCCTCAGTTATTTGACGGCCGCATTCAGTGAGCTTGCAACATAGTGTGTGCTGCATCGGACCACCTTGCGGTGTGTCAACTGGTCTTGAAGGCGGTAGATAGTACTCACCAGACCATCTTACGGTGTACTTCTACCGGCCTTAGAGAGTATTTACAGGACTACCGGTGATGTCTGCGAACTCGCCGCCTACTCTGGTCAACTGTGGGCTGAGTCATATGATGCTGTTTAGTGGGATATTACATGAAGAAAAGGTTGGAGTGTTACACTGAACTGGGCTAGGACCGTAGTGTGACACTTAGGGAAGTATGATGGAGTGGAACACTGAGATATGCTACAGGACCGTAGTGGAACACTGAGAAGAAAAGGATGTCGTGTGACACTGAAGATGGCCTGGTTGTAGTGTACATTGAATAGTGTCATGTGACTGGTCTCTGATAAGAAAGACGCTGTGGGTGATAGTGTGCGACGCAGAGACAAGGGTGTCAAGTATGACAGTCGAAAAAGGGTGTGGATGACGCAGAGAAAAGGGTGTCGTGTGACATGGAGAGCTGGAGTGTCTGGTGACACAGAGAAAAGGGTGTCAAGGAACACGGTTGTGAAGGAGCGTCATCACACGGCGAAAAGGGTGTCGAGTGACACGGTGGAGAAGGAGCGTCACAACACACCACGGATAAGTGTCGTGTGAGACACAGAGCGTCATTAAGGTGTCGTAAGACAGTTGACTAATTTATTATTGTAAATATGTTACGTATAATTTATTATTTTAGCATAGATATATATATTATTATTTTAAGGTGCTAATAATTTATTATTGTAACATGTATATATATTTTAAATACCTCTAGACCAAAGATTAATTTTATATAATATTAAAGATTAATTTATTTTAATGTTGTATTTATGTATCCCGAACTCTT